TAATCATCTGAAACTTTATGTTCTTAATGTACACTAGATTGTCCATTCATTCCAGACTTCAGTAATGTTTCTTATTTCATCATGAGGCTTCCCCCTAATGTGGTGGTTGAAGCCATGTGATTTTTACAGTAATCATTGTGCCCTTACTTTCATTTATCCTCTTCCCACTCCTCCCATTGAAACTATTAGTAAGTTAAACTTTAGCTTTTCTTCTTTTAGTTATATTCTGATTTCCTATTCCTCCTATATATTTTACTGCCTCCTTCATAACATTTTACAGATGATAGTTACAATCTTTATTTCTTTGATTTCTTTTGAATTCTTTTCCCATAATTAGAACTAAACTTTCATGAAACTAAGGAGTATATTTGTATATTCAAAACACAAACATGGCAACTCACACATAGCTGTTGTTCAGCAAATTAATTGTAGAGTAAATAAATGTAGCCTCATATGGTCTGGTATGTCTCCAGCTTACATGGTCTGATGGTGTCCTGTGAAATTCTGGGGTTCCTGCTAAAAGTGACCTTGTTGATATTTTTACTATCTGTACATTTTGTAAAGATTTATTTAGAAAGTAGTCACATCTACAAATCACTCATACAGGAGAGAAACCTTTTTATATTTATATGGGGTTGTCATTAAAGAGTTACATCACACCACAGCATTTTTTAACAGTTTAATGCCTGAAGAAGATGATGAAATGATTCACTGTTCTTGTTTTTCCTAGAAATCAGAAAAGTTGATGATCCTCTGCAACATCACTTGAAAAATCAAAGCATTCAGAAGAATCTGGAGCAAGGCCATGAACATAAAGCATTCAGAAATATTGTTAATCAGAGCAAAGTTCATTTTCCACTAAAGCAAAATTGTGAAAAACCTTTAAAATCAAATTTAAGTTTTAAAAGCCAGAATAGAAGCTGTGACCTAAAGAAATTTACTGAGATTAATGGAGATGGGAAATCTATATACATCCATGCAAACCATGAACGGTGTTATACTGAAATTAAATTTCCTTTAAGTGCAAAACTACCAATATGGCCCTGGTCATTAAACAACAGAGAACTCATAACATAGAGAAAACATATGAATGCAGTGAGTGTGGGAAGGTGTTTGTCAGGGTGTCTCAGTTCATCAATCATCAGAGAGTTCATACAGGAGAGAAACCTTATAGGTGTAAATGTGGGAAAGCCTTTTCCAGAAAGTCCCAGCTAACAGAACATCAGAGAAATCATACAGGGATAAAACAGTATGAATGTACCAAATTTGACATGTCCTTCCTCAAAAAATTACAGTTCAGTGTGCATCAGGAAACACATATGGGAGAGAAACCTTATAAGTGTAGTGAATGTTGGAAAGCCTACATTAAAAAGTGTCGACTCATTTATCATCAGCGTACTCATACAGGAGAGAAACCCCATGGATGCAGCATATGTGGGAAATCCTTCTCTACAAAGTTCAGTCTCACTACACATCAGAAAACTCATACAGGAGAGAAACCTTATATATGTAGTGAATGAGGAAAAGGATTCATTGAGAAGAGGTGTCTTAATGCACTTAGTCAGACTCATACTGGAGAGAAACCCTTCATATGCAATAAATGTGGGAAAGGCTTCACCTTGAAGAATAGTCTTATCACACATCAGCTAACTCATTCAGAAGAGAAGTTGTATGCATGCAGTGAATGTGGAAAAGCCTTTTCCATGAAGCACTGTCTCATCATACATCAGCGAACGCACACAGGAGAGAAACCATATACATGCAATGAGTGTGGAAAAGGCTTCACCTTGAAGAGTCCTCTCATCAGGCATCAGCGGACACATACAGGAGAGAAACCCTATGTATGCACCGAATGTCTAAAAGGCTTCACCATGAAGAGTGACCTAATTGTACATCAGCGAACTCACACTGCAGAGAAGCCATATATGTGCAATGACGGTGGGAAAGGCTTCACTGTGAAGAGCCGCTTGATTGTCCATCAGCGAACTCACACAGGAGAGAAACCTTATGTGTGCAATGAATGTGGAAAAGGTTTCCCTGCAAAGATCCGGTTGATAGGACATCAGCGAACTCACACAGGAGAGAAGCCTTATAAATGCAGTGAATGTGGAAAGGGCTTTACTGAAAAGAGTCACCTCAATGTACATCGGCGCACTCATACAGGAGAGAAACCCTACATATGCAGTGAATGTGGCAAAGGCTTAACTGGGAAAAGCATGCTTATTGCCCATCAGCGGATTCACACTGGTGAGAAACCATACATATGCAATGAGTGTGGTAAGAGCTTCACCATGAAGAGTACTCTAGGCATACATCAGCAAACTCACACTGGAGAGAAGCCTTACAAATGCAATGAGTGTGGTAAAGCCTTCAGAAAGAAGACATGCCTTGTCCAGCATCAGAGATTTCACTCAGGAAAAATTTCCTTTGCATGTACTGAATGTGGAAAATTCTCTTTGCGCAAAAATGACCTCATTACCCATCAGAGAATTCACACAGGAGAGAAACTCTATCAGTGCAGTGAATGTGGGAAAGCCTTCACTACAAAGTCAGGACTTAATGTTCATCAAAGAAAACATACAGGAGAGAGGCCCTATGGATGTAGTGATTGTGGGAAAGCTTTTGCCCACTTGTCAATTCTTGTTAAACACAAGAGAATTCACAGGTAGTTATTCTGCTAGTTGTAGGCCCTTGAGATAATATAATAAATACAAAGAATAATAACTTTGATGTAAAGTATATGGTGGTATACTTAGGGATCAATTACCTCATTCATGTTCCATATTGTATGAAACAACTATATACAATCAGTCTTCACAAAAGCATTTCGGGACACTATATGATGGCTAAAAAGTGTATACTCAGATAAATCCCACAAATGTGACAGACTACAGAAGCCTTCAGTTGAGAGAGAGACTTCATCTCCCTAGGTTCATTCCCCAATGCTGAAAAAAGATTATCAAAAAATTATCATAGGTTATGGATGAAATATCAGCTGATAGAAAT